TACAGAAAAAAAAAAGGGTAAAAGGGATAAAGACAATTAGGAGTGAAAGAAGGGAAAAGAGAAAATGTCCTTTAAGTGAAGAGAAAATTTTCATAATGAAAATGGCTTGTTCAAAATATTTCTCTGAGCGCCTAAAAAAGTTCTTTAAGAACTAATTAGAATTTTTGGTTAGGGTTTAGAAATACTCACAGTTCTTGTAGAGTAGGAAAATTGTTGGTAGATATAGGAATCTTGCAGTTGAGTGAGTAAATAAGCACTGCATTTGGGAAGTTCAGGGGAAATGACAAAGACTTAAAACAAGGAGTGGTGAAGGATGCAGCTTTGAATTGGTCTTGAATTGTGGACTGACATTCGTTCTTGTGTGACACTATTTAGCTATGGAAATTGGCTAACTAATTAACCATAGAAATTAAAAACAGGAAAGACTTGAGGTGAGAAAGAGCTATATCGAATGATAGACTGAACAATAAAAAAAAATTTATTTTTTATTTTATTTACTTTTCGTAACGTGACAGAAAATCCGTAAAAAAAGCTGAGACTGAGATTCTGTCAAAACTAATTAATGTCATGTTAAAGGGATTGACGCACCAAGGGAAACAGAATTCAGAAAAAAAACAAAGCCAACCGATGCATGCAGCCATAAAAAATTTTGGCTTGAGACCACCATGGAGAATAGATATTAGTTATCTTTTAGAGATATCATTTAATTTTAATTCCTGGGTCCAACGAAGAAGCCATCTGGTGTGTGTTAGAATTCTGGCATGAGGAAAAAAAATCGAAGGGGATTATTATTGCTTATTCAAACTGTTGACGTCAGACATAGCGTCATCAAAAATGGGCATTTGGTGATAAGAGGATTTTTAAGGCATGAGAAAAATAAAGAATTTGATTCTCAGGTAAAATATGGACCTCCCAGTTAAAAGTTGACTTAGCAGAAGAAACCAGGTGTCAGGTTTTGACAGTGATTGATGAGTTGGTAGAGAGACCCGACTAAGTGAATTTTTGGGTGTCCCAAAAGAAAGATGTGATAAAATTATTTGGCAATCTGGGATTTGTAAATGTTTTGGCTGAAGGAAAAAAAAAAAAAAAAAAAAAAGGATTTTGTAAACAAAATTCTGGATAATAATTTCAAGAGGGCCAGTCTAGCCACACCCACACTGCCGAGAGATCATGGGTCACGTGGTAGCATGGGTTATAGGCGGAGGTGAATGTATGAGAAAGACAGAGAAGTTGTTAACACCCTCTGAGGGGATTGGTATGAGATACCAATGTGAGAGAGGAAGAGTCTAGGAGGATAACTCTCCTTTGACTTTCCCTCATGGACGAGGGAGAAACGCCTGAAATGAAAAGTGATTAATCTTCCAAAAATGGGAAGTAATTAATTTTCCTGGCCTAAGAACAAAGAGAATTCTTGCTGGGAATTGAGAATTATCGGGAACCCAAACCACGTCAGGCCCCCACACAGGGTTTTGGTCGCTATCCATATAAATGAACATCTCGAGGCAGCTGTTGAGTTGCAGTTGCAGTCAGGCCGTTGCCTCGCAGAAGCTGACCGAGAAATTCCATGTCCTTCCGACTTAGCTTTCCTACTAAAAGCAAGTTATATTGACTTAAACTTAAGATACCAAAACTCGCTTAAGAAACGCAAGTGTCACGAATTCATAGAAATGGGCTGTGAGAGAAACACACTCCTGTATTCAACAGACGGATAAAGATAATTTGTTATTTCTCAACATATTTGAACCTCTTGAGTTTGTTTTATTGCTTCTTTGACTTATGCTTGTGCAATATCACCTTTACTCCGGATTCAGCTTGCACTATGGCTCGATGCCTGATTGATTTCGTCTAACTAAGATCAAAGTCACAACATGGGTAGGTTCTGTAGAATAATCACGTGGTAGAGATAAACACTCAGTTGTGAAGCAAGCTAAGTGAATAATAATCCAACCTTTAGAAAGAGAGCTATTTATGTTGCCATGGAGCATCTCATTGTGCTAAAGTGGGATAGTCCATTGCTTGGGCTGTGATTGGCTGCTGGTACCTGAGTGGAGGTATTTCTATATAAATACCAGCTTGATTCATCAGTTAGTTTGCAGGGTTTGTATTAAGTTACTTTATTTTTGTCTGCCGGCTGGATGCTAGCTGGGACCTTTACGCCGGTAAGTGCTGTTTATTATTGTTATTCTACAGGTTCGACTTGAGATCAAAGTTCGATACCAGCTTTGTCATTCCCAGCTCAAACCGGGAATGACCAGATCGACCAGGACACAGCCTGGTGGCAGCGACAGAGTCAACCCCAAAACGCTGGTGGAAGAAACCTTACAGCTTCGCGCCACAACTGGGAGTTGACCATGGGCCCACAGCGCAGTGTCACTTATTGGCGTCACGACCAGAGGACGTCACATATTGGCGCTGTGACTGTAACCACCAGGGTGTTAGACTTGACAGCCCTTTAGTAGGTAGTTCTTCTTTGGTTGAAAGTCATTCTGAAGTTGACTGGAGCTCCCTATCATTGACCTTACAGATGGTGGGCTGAAATTCTCATTGCCAAATAGGCAAAGATTCTCCAAATTTATGGAGATTTGGTAGGCTCCGATGGATTGGGGGACTTTACCCTCCAAAATCGTTGTACAAATTTCCTGGCCCCTCTATTGGTCAGAAAAAAACATTCTCATAAGAATCAGGGCCCTGGGAGCCGGTTTTGAAGGTAATGAAAATAGGTTGGAGTGAACAACCTTGTGAGGTTTCGTCCATACTTTTTGGCACCATGGAAAGAATAATGGTGGTGGAATTCCTTTTTATATATTTTTTAGCTCTCTCGTTAGTCAGAAAATATATTCTTTATCTCTGATAAGAATCTAGGCTTTGGGAGCCGGTTTTGAAAGTAAAAAGAGAGGTTGAAGTGAGGATAGAAAAAATAGCGAGAATATGAACTTGTAAAATATTGTTCTCAAATTAAATTCAAACAGTTCAGGATGATATACCTTTTACCTGTTTTTGCCCTACAGCCAAATTACACTTTTAGTTGTTTTTACATGGTGCAAATATGAGTTTTTTTTTTTATGTGCTACTGAATTAAAAAATTTAGATTTATCTTTGTTGTGCTATGAATCATAATAAGAAGTTGCAAGGTATTAATTATTGAAATGAAACTTATATGATCAGTCAAAATTGACTGATCATATAAGTTCTTAACTATTTCATTTTTAAGAATGCTAAAGTATGATCTAAAACTTATTGATTCCATTAGTATTATATTTCTTTTACTCTCATTCAAAACTATCTACATGAGTTTACATTTCTTCAGTTATTCACTAGTGAAATTGTCTCCTTGGTCCAGTAGCACAGGAGATAGAAAACATTAACTTTGAATGGTCATAATTTAGTTGTTAATTGAGCTATTAAGATGAATTTGTTAGAGTTTTTTGTTTTGTTAATATCGCTATACCTGTATTAAAAGTTCTTAGATATATAATGAAAATAAAATTTTACTTTTTGATACCTAGTATTATAATAAATGTATGCCATAAGTTACAGCTCTTGCTTGCCTTTGGTATTTATAGAGGGAATGTTGAAGAATGCATCTGAAACATTGTTTAATTTGCTTTGCAGCCATTTCTGCAACAGGAAAGTGATATACTATTCCAGCACATGATGCCCATGCTACTCAACATTTCTCAACTTTCCTGACTGGCATAGTTGTCAAAGATGGCTCACATTGTGCTATCATATCTCAGACTTTTTCAGTGTCAGTTATAACTCTTGTTGTATTGCATCAATACATGAAAGAGATCTGCAATAATATATTGCAGGATGGTATTTAATATCTGTGCAATTGTATGCATATAAGAGTACAGACCCATCTTAATATCCATGGATGATATTAAATAAATTTGTTAGTTGCATTTGATACAAGCCTTATTTTGGAACCTGTGAACACACATATATATGTAATCCAATTATATAAATTGTATGTTTAATCTTGAAATAAATTGAAATATTTAGGCTGTTACAATTTTACTATCCATCTGTCTAGATATTATACATCAGTGAAGATAATGGTGATCCTATAGCCAAGCCTTGTTCTTATTGATATATAGAGAATTCTAAATGGAAATGTGTCATTTGCCCATATATCCAACTCACATGTATGATTATTTGCAGTTACTTGTTCCATTTTACTTAGAATCTCTGTTGTATATATTTAGGATAATAGCTACATCTATATATAAAAGAAGACATTTATGTTGACACTAAGGCTGGTTGGTATAGTTGAAGAAAGTGATTGAAGGGTGTTTGTCACACCCTCCAGTCTAGTTGGTCAGATTTGAGTTGAAGTTGAACAATTTCTTTTATGGTGGGTGGATGTGCAGATGGTGTAATGGATAGTGGCTTAGAATGAGAATTCAAAGCTGAGTTTGAGTTCCAGTTGGATTCTTTACATTCAGATTTACACTACATTCATACAAATGTCCTTGGGAAAGGTATGACTTCATCTCCTCCCCTCAGCTATAGGTTAAATAGTAGAGCTTGTATCTGGAAAAATCATTGGTATTCTCAAAAAATTGTTTATGCAAAAAAAATTCTTACAATCCAAAATAAGTTTTGGCTTTAAATAATCCTCAAAGGGTTGATAAGCTGTAAAAAACAAAACCAAATCAATTATGGTGGGTCTTGCATATGTATAGTTTTCTGCTAATAATCTTAGCAGCTATCTTTAGTTGTACTAAGAAAGGATCTTCTGAAAATATCTTCAAGCATTTTTAAATGGATTCAAGGCATTTCATTATTTATTCTTCTTTTTCACTTTGAACTATTTCCAGTAGCATTCTATTATCTTTTCTGTGTGTATTTTAACTACTTTATTTTTCAGAAGAAACTTTTAATTAGGAAAACACATTTTATAATATTAAATATAAAGAGAGCATGATCTGTATATTTACATTAAAGCAAAATCTACGTCACTTATGAGATAAATAGTAAATACATGAAGTACTTACAGCAATAGGAGGGAATATACGTTGACAAGCCTCCCGGTTTTTGTGTTCCAAATAAGCCATTTTAACAATCTGTTTCTCTGAAACTGTCATACAGTAACTGCAAAGTCGACACTCCTGATGAAAAAAATAAAATGATAATTTTTATGCTACTGTTTAAAATCATTTTAGTTGATAATGTCATTAAAAATTCCTGTTAAACTGAATACAAAATTATGAGGATTCAATCAATTTATACTAAACTGACATCATTTGAGGATAAAAAAGATTTTCTTGCGGTTCAAAAAAGAAATTTCACAATTTTATTTCATTGAATAATTTTTACAGCAAGTAATCTTTACCTATGAGGCCAACTGTTTTTATGAGAGCAATGATTATATTAGTATATTATATACAATTCTAGTAAATTTTGAAGATATTGAATATATTTACTTTATTTCTTGAATTTATATACCATATATATCACATGTCTACTGAACAGGAATAGAGCTTTATCCCTTGTCTCCTGGTTAGGATATGATTTACCAGTTCCTTACTTTCACAGCCTTAATTATTTGACTTTTTTGAAAATCAGTGGCTGTAACTTTTCAATTTGAGAGTACAGTTTTGGCACTTTTCTGGTTGTTGCATTGAGGCTGGTAGCAATGTGCCTAATCTCTTTGGTATTATAACAAATGTATAGTTGCAAAGGAAGGAGCAAACAAGGATTAAATTTTCAACAGCATGTATTCGTCAAATTTAACAATATAAGTTGAAAGGTGGCACAAATTGTTAATATGTGGTTGTTTAGTTGCTGTTGGTAAGGAAAGCGATTAGGTGTAAGGATGTTGTCAGTAAGGCTGGGAATTGACTGATTGCTTGGCTTGATTAGTTGAGGTCACAACTGATGTCAGGAGATAGGTTTGGAGCAGACTAGTGAAGCTAAGTGTAATGTCATTTGTGGGGGTTGACATATGCATTTCTTCAGGGTTGAAATTGACACCAGTATGGTGTTTAATAGTCTAGTGGTCATGTGATGAGGTTGAAGTGTTGAAGCTGAACTGCTTGGTAAGGTGTGTTGGTGGGGGTGTTGATGTAGGCCATGGTGGCGGTGACGAGGGAAGCCTAGAGTGACAGTTGATCAAACAGAATGTTTCTGTTGGATTCTGGTCAAATGGGAGATCAATGAAATAGGATTACAGTGGTGACAATGAGGGAGGCCTGGAGTGGATAGTGAGGCTACAGAGGATGCGAGTGTGAAGAGTTGGGAGAAGTCATGAATCTGACTGCTGATACAAGGGTTGCATTGGTGGGGTGATAGTGGAATGTATCTGTTGAATTCTGGTCGAATGACAATCAACAAAAATGGGTTCACAGTTGTGACAATAAGAGAGACCTGGAGTTGGATGGTTAAGATGTCAAGATATTAGTAATCATGGTGGTAGCATCTGGAGCATGGCAGTGTTGGAGTTGGCCATGTTCTGCATGGGAAGACTCTGGTGAAATTAGTCTGGGTGAGTTCACTGTTGTGATGAGAGAAGAGATCATGGATTTGACAGCAACAGCACACCAGTGTTGATAGATGGCCTCTTGGCCTGCTACTGCGTTGAAATTTCTTATAAGCAAATCTTGTGGATCCCAGGGACAACTTTTTTCAACAGGAGTGGTTATGATTGGCTCTTTCATTTTATTTCAGGGATTTGTTTTATGGACTGGATATGAAGCTTGGAGCCCCTGCACAGAAAATAACTTTTTTTTATTTTGCGTTTTGCTTTCTTAGCATTCACATCTGGTTGACTTGTGGAGTGAATCAGAAAGAGATCTAATTGCCTCAGGGTATAACATTGGTAATGTTTGAGAGACTGCTCTGATCAACAGTTACATACTTCTGGTGACCACCCTGATACTACTTTATGCTTTAGTTTTAGTCACCTTCTTGCCAGTTTGTATTTTTATAGACGATGGACAGTTATAAACATTTTGGTATTTTCTTCTTTAAAAATTAAAATAATACTTCTCATGACAGTTACATTTAAATGAAATATATTTAAACCAGTAAGCAAAAAATCACCTACTCCCTCAACCTTTCTTTCTCCAATGTTTGTAGTATTTGTACTAATATCGGTAGTGTAGAATCTTTTCTCTTGAAATATTTTCCAGATATCTTAGCAATCTGGGAAACTAATTTAATCTCTTCTATTGCTAACCTGGACTAGAGAATTCATTGGTATCTTCCTCTTTGTTGAAAAGATTCTAGGATACATATGCATGGCTTGGTGTTTACATCTGGAAAAATCTTCCAGTGGCAAGATTTTCTTTATTACACTGTAAGCAATCTCTGTTTCCATAATTGCACTCCTTTTAAGGACTGTAACATATTAGCCAAAATATCTGAGAGTAGAAATACATTCTCTACATTTATTTGCAAATGTCTTTGTGTTTGATTTTCATGCTAGTCATGTTAGGTGGCTTAATCATTCTAATGTTACTAATGTTTCCAGTATTCAGACTTTCAATGTTTTCATTACTCAGTCTCTCAGTCAAATAGTGGATTTTACTACTCATTTCCCTAATAAATCTGTTCATCATGCTTCTTTACTTGATTTGTTCACTACCTCCACTTCTGGTTTTTGTCAAGCATCACAACTCCATCCTCTTGGTAATTTGGATCATGCTGTAGTATCTGTTGATATTTCTTCTGAGTCATCTATTACATATGAACCTCATATTCACAAGATTCCTTTCTGTTACCAGCATACTGATTGGGATTCATTTTATGATTTTATTCACAATACTCACTGGAGGTGATTTTTAACCTTCCTATTGAGAATTGTGCCACTGAGGTTTCTTCTTACCCAATGCTTTTGTGGAATCTTGGAAATACCGTGTGAAACCACAAGCTTCATGTTCAGCTACTATAACCCACAGGAATCAAGTTTTCTGGCTGTACTAACACGATAATTCTCATCACAACAGACATCTTTGTGTCTGCTTGTATTAACTGTAAATGTGTTCTCAGAGAGGCTAAGTCTTTATTCATTGACAGTATGAGGCAATATAAAGATTCAAAAAAGTTTGGTTCTCATGACAATTGACAATTCTGTAATAGTGTATTAAATTAGAGTAAATCTTCTATCCCACCTCTCTTCACTCAATTTGAGGTTTAACATCTTATGTTGATAAAGTAGAATGTTTTACCCATCAAATTCTACTCTTGATTCATCTGGAGTATCTTTGCCTGACTTTCCATTTTCCAGAGTCTCTATTGTGTGATATACATATAATTCCATCCATGGTTTCTACTATCATCTCTAAATTGAATTCCCATAAAGTATGTGGACTTGATGGTATTCCTGCAATAGTCCTTAAGAAATGTGCTCCTAAACTGGCTCCTGTTCTCTCAAGACTCTACAATAAATGCTTTGCTGCTTTTTGGAAATCCCCTTCTATAGTTCTAGTTCAAAGTATCTGATCATTCTATCAGCCTTCTTTTTAGTAAAGTAATAGAGGCTATAATCAACTACAATTTGGTTAATCATTTCACCTTGAAAGGATCTTCTTTCAGACCAGCAATATAGCTTTTGCTTCTCTAGGTCAACTGCTAATGTATTAATGATTATTGCTGAAAGAGTTATCAAGCTTTAGAGAAGAATGGTGAAACTCAGGCAGTTGCTTTGGATATTTCAAAGGCATCTGAGAAGGTTTGGCATGCTAAGAATTTTAAAAATAAAATACTGGCATTGATTCTTCAAAAAATATTAATATTTATTCTTTCAGTATATGACTGAACTAAACTAAGCATTAAGCATGGTCTTACCTTAAAAAACTAAGGGGATTTTTTGTGTAAAATTCTGTCTTAAAAAATTATTTCAAATGTAAATTCAGTATTAACTGAAAAAACAAAAATTCTGTTCTATAAAAAAAAATTAATGTCTAAAAATTATTTTAAATGAAAATTCACTGTCAAAACTGAAGCAACAAAATCCTGTTCAAAACTAAACCAGAGAAATTTCTAACTAAAATTTTAACTATATTTTAGAAATGGACATGATTTATAAATTGAAGGAAAAATATTCTTGGTACAAGTCTAGAATTGACACTACCTTGAATTTAATAAAGGCCAAAGCAAATGTACCAAATCCAAAATACTTCTTCACTCTGCAGGAACAAACTATGCTTAAGTGCCTAGATTCTGTAGAATCTTTCACAGATAAAATGATTGATATTTATATCAATTTAGATTTTGACATGGAAGATATTAGAAATGAAACTATTTGTAAAATTGACTATCATTCTAATACATTAGAAGTCATTTATGATATAGTATATCATTTTGAGCAAAAGTCTAATTGCTAGAACAATGAGTGAACAGCAGAAGTGTCAGTCTGGAGACTTCATTGAAAATTCTGAAATTTCTGAGACTGATGAGATATCTAGTGTCTTCATTGAAATTGCAGATTTGGAAATTTCTAAAACTGATGAAATATCTAGTGTCTTTGTTGAAAATGAAAATTCTGAAATTTCTGACACTGAAAATACATCAACTAATGTCAATAAAAATGTAAAGTCTAGAGAACATAAAAGCTACTGTTATGTAAATTTGCCTTGAGATGAGGCAAAAATGGAATCTGTCCCTTTAAGCCATGCTGTAGCCATTATTGTGCAGAATGTTTTCCCTGATAAGTTTGAAAACTACATTTGGATACCTCATAGACCTGTGTTTAGCTCTGAAGATCAAACAACTACCAAAATAATTTTTAATTGTTCACTTAAGACAAATGAGGCATCTTCACTAAATAAAGCAGACTACCCTAGCTTAAACATCAAAGAAAACATTGAAATTGTTGTTATTCCATATGAACAAATATTCATTTCTTGCAAACATTAGGAAGGTTTTTCTAATGATAACATTTAAGATCAAAGAAGATAAGGATAGACTTTGTTACTGTTGTACTAGCTTAATTTTTGGATTTGCTGCCAGTCTATTTATATTGAATTATATGATTGTCTATTTATATTGAATTATGTGATTGTTCATCATATTTCCTGGAAATGAATACACTGAAATGTTAAAATTTTTACTGTTAACTTGGAAAAAGCTAGTAATTCTCCTGAAAAACTATTGTATCTTTATCTAG